CCGTTGAAGATTAAGTGTAGTGAGAGTTTGATTCACCTTCAATGCATCGCCAAGTGCTTTAGCTCCTTCGTCGAATATTTTGTTAGCTCGAAGATTAAGCGTAGTGAGAGTTTGATTCACCTTTAATGCATCGCGAAGTGCTTTAGCTCCTTCGTCGGATATTGCGTTCCCTGTAAGATGAAGTGTAGTGAAAGTTTGATTCACCTTCAATGCATCGCCAAGTGCTTTAGCTCCGTCGTCGGATATTGCGTTCCCTGTAAGATCAAGTGTAGTGAAAGTTTGATTCACCTTCAATGCATCGCCAAGTTCTTTAGCTCCGTCGTCGGATATTTGGTTCGATTGAAGATCAAGTGTAGTGAGAGTTTGATTCACCTTCAATGCATCGCCAAGTGCCTTAGCTCCGTCGTCGGATATTTCGTTCCATGCAAGATCTAGTATAGTGAGGGTTTGATTCACCTTTAATGCATCGCCAAGTGCTTTAGCTCCTTCGGCGGATATTTGGTTCGATTGAAGATCAAGTGTAGTGAGAGTTTGATTCACCTTCAATGCATGACCAAGCGCTTTAGCTCCTTCGTCGGATATGTCGTTCCGTGCAAGATCTAGTATAGTGAGGGTTTGATTCACCTTTAATGCATCGCCTAGTGCTTTAGCTCCTTCGTCGGATATGTTGTTCCGTCGTAGGTCAAGTGTAGCGAGAGTTCGATTGCGTTTGAACGCATTGCATAATGTTTCGATGTCAGTGGTATCTAGATGCTTACTCTGTAGGCTGAGTTGAATCGTTGTGTGTATTGTTGACAGTTGGTGCTGTAAAAAGTTGTTTTGCGGAAGGAGTTTAACATGGATACGATGTTTTGTTTCTTCTTGGATGTATTCTACTTTTTCGATTTGAAACTTTGTTCCTGCTGGAAGTAGGACTTCTTGTTCACGCGGGAAGTCAGAGTGTGGGGAGAGATCTAAGCCGCTCACGAATGACATATCGACGATAATTAGGGTGTTTCCAAATTGTTGAGCGATTTTTGGATCCTTGCTTGTGGACGTAAATCCGAACCAACATTTCTTTTGCCCGATCGCTGTTTTGTAATGGTCAATCATAAGTGCGTCAAGTTCTAGGGCACGGTAAACTTTGTCGCTTGTTTTGTCATTTGTCATATACCAGGAATAATATACGAGGTAGCAATAGGGACCTAATGTGTCTGTTTTGGTTCTATCATTCTCTCTCAAGGTTTTATTTACTAGTTTGTATAGAAATGTTTCCATTGTATACAGTTGTAGTGCACATTGATAGATCGACAGTTTATCCTTACTTGCGATTTGTCGCAATTTGTCCGCTAATGGCTTTGCTTCTATTGCTTTTTGTTGTCGGTTACCCTCTATTAGTATTCCATCTGCCGCTTTTTCAGCTATCTCGCTGTCGTCAATATCGGATTGCTGTTTGTCTTTCCACTGTTTAATGAACCAATATCCGCCATATGTCCACTCATTGAAAGGTTTAACGGATAGTGCACCGGAATACCTCTCTTGTTTCATACGCTGAGGTTGATGGCTAGCGATCGGCATTCGTTTTATTGGCGTGTGTTTATTTTTATCATGCTTCCGGGTTGCAGTAGAGTTAGCTATATCAATCCACCAGTCATCTAATTCCACGGGTATTGCTTTATCTTTTTTCTGAAACGCTTCTTCGATAATCACTGATTCAACATCAGAGTAGCTTGTCCATTCTTGTGTTTCGCCTACTGATGCTGCGTTCGAATCTGATTTCCAGGTCCATTGCGCTTCTCTGTGCCGAAGTGATTTCATTGAACTACCAACGTTTGATTCTGTTGCCATCACTTGATCTATAACAGAGATGTTGCTGATGTTAAAATAGACCTAAAATTCATATAGAATCTCAGTTAATTGAAGGAACGTTTTTTGTGGCTTGCAAGACAATGTCTGACTGTTTAGGTTTTTTGCTTTCTTTTGCAGTGTAATTCGATCCTGAGTTTATATTGTTTAATTGGAATTTAATCTTTCTTTATAGGTTTCTTTTGTAGGACAGGAAATGTTTGAAAACTTCCTGGAGAACGGTGTGGTTCTCTTATATTTCGTTAGAAATCGCAATTAGATAATTATTTTTCGATGCACAGAGAGGAAGTAATTCTGTAAAAGAACATGGTTAGTAGAGTTCTATTTTACACACTCGAAGAAAAGTCTATTGTATTTATCAAAATCTTGAAAAAGCAGTCTCTGAAGGCTGTCCAAGAGAAAAATATTGTACAAAGGAACAGCCATCTATGTTTGTAACCTAACGTGATCCATGAATTTCATGTTTGTTTAAAGAGTATTTGGAAAAAAAATTTCATCTCAAGTGAATTTGTGTACAGTTAGATCCAGTGGAGTACGTTGTGTTAACATACAATACAAACTTTGGGAGCATGAAGTGTTAGAACTTCAGTTTCCTACTTAGTCATGGCAAAAAATATTATAAAATTGCCTTTGTGTTCATCAAAGAGGTTGATCAAGCGTAATTTTCCCTTACTGATACAGTGAAATTATTATAATTTCTACAAGAACTGAGAACTAACATACAATTCCTTTTCACTTCCTAATTGATTCCTCTATATATTTCTAGAAAATAAGCAAATACAGGCTGTCCCATAAATAACTTAACATTAACAAATTTGAATATCTCCATCAAATATTGATCAAATGAGCTGAAATTTTTACAGTGATAGAGGTTCACTTAAAGTTCTTTTTTCAGCGAGACAGATCGACGAATGACTGTTTCTATCTAGTAGGATCGAATTGATAAGAAATTTTTACCTATCACCAGCTTTACAAAAACTACTCGAAAATATCCTCATTGTAATCGGATTTTTTGTCTAATAGCATAAAGATGATAATCGATCTGGAAGTTTTCTTGATCTTATTATACGAAAAATCATGAACATCGAATACTATTTTTATTCTGTTACATTAAAATCCGACTACAATGAGAATGTTTTCGAGTGGTTTTTGTAAAGCTGGTGACAGGTAAAAATTTCTTATCAATTTGATCCTACTAGATAGAAACAGTTATTTGTCGATTTGTCTCGCCGAAAAAGAACTTTAAGTGAACCTCTATCACTGGTAAAAATTTCAACTCATTTGATCAATATTTGATGGAGATATTCAAATTTGTTAATGTTAAGTTATTTATGGGACACCCTGTACATGAGTAATCAACAACAATTTCTAGACTTAGTTACCTCCAAACTCCCCGTATCCAATCAGGCAACTCACAAACATTGATTCCTACCATAAGGAATCAAAGAAATGAAGAGAATTAATAGACAATAACTCTCAAAGGAACTGACATCATCCACCCACCCATATACCACAGAAGGAGTCATTCCAAAATTATATTGTCTTTGAATAAGGTTCATTTATAAAATAAAAGAACATCTTACATATGACAAACTAATCCCGATCCTAGCGATAGTTCCCAGGGCATGTGCCTAGTACCTGAATGAATACATAAGATTCCTGGTTGTAATCCCTCGAGGAATTGAGAGAAATGAAGATACGATGAATCAATAAAAATATTCCTTCTTTAAGGAAAAATCTCGAGGAATTGAGGAATTATCTCAATTCTAATGATAATTCTAGGACATGAGGGTAGAACCTGAAAGGTAGTTCCAACAATTTCAGTAAGGATATGAATACACTATATGATCTCCATAAGCAATGGATTCATACTAAAACAAAAAATTTTGGTGAACAAATTATCAGAAATATTTTCATCGGGGAATCATCAGCTAAATGGACGAGGAATTCCGACAGAATCAATTAGGAACTCACAGGGAATTCAAGTAAATTTACGTTCGGAAAAATAATATACGAGAAAAATCACTCGTTTACTTCTTAAAGAAAAAACGGCGAAATGTTGTAGTTCGGTCAAAAATGTCGAGGAATTGAGGAATTATGTCAGTTCTAATGATAATTCTAGGACATGAGGGTAGAATCTATTAGATACCTAGGTACAATTCCTCGGGGAATTGAGAGAAATGAGGTTATGATGAATCAATGAAATTTAACCTTCTTCATGAAAAAATGCCGAAGAATCGTGGAATTATGTCAGTTATAATAATAGTTCTAGGACATGAGCGTAGAATCTATTAGGTACCTAGCAGAGCTCCTAATCGGGTGAATTTCTGATGGCCCGCCTGGACCAAGCCGGGCCAACAAAGGTCGAGGCCTGCCCGACCCATCATGCTAATCGATTGGCCCGGCCAGTAGTCTTTCCTGGACCGCCCGGCTTGAGCCCGACTGTAATTGTTTCAGACTCAATTCAATTTTGTTATGGCAAAAACGCAGTAAAAGCTTTCTTAAAGATTAGTTCAGCAGCACATACATATTGTACAGCACATATTTAAGAATCTATTGTACAATAAACTCAGTAAAGGATAGAATTCTTTTAGATGGTGTATTTGTTTCTTCTTCTATCATTAGTCACCTGAATTGACCAGTGATCAAACTCTTTTTTTCTCAACAGAATTTACTAAATAATAATAACATATTGTTATTAGGAAATAGCTAAAATCCAACTGAAAATATGGAGAAACATTTTAAAATTTCTCGGGCCGGGCCGGACCGTAAAAAACGCTGACCCGACAACTTTTCTCGGACGGCCCGCCCGGCCCGAGAAAAAAAGCGACTGGCTCGGTCCGGCCTGGTTCGAGGCGAATCGGTCCCGGGCCGGGTCATCGAGTCGGGTGGATCGGCAGGAGCTCTGGTACCTAGGTATAATTCCTGGAGAAATTGAAAGAAATGAACTGATGATGGATCACTGAACGTTTTCTTCATGATAGGAAATTGTCGAGGAATCAAGCACAAAATAACTTAATGACGCAAAGCATACAGATGATTGCTTTTCTGAAGAGGATGAAACAGAAATTCGAACACATAGTGATAAAGAAGAAGATAGTAACGAAACAAAAACAAAAACAAATACACAACATAGTAGTCCAACGAACAATGCATTCTGCAATGATTCGAATTTCAACCGAGGCACAAGAAACGCTCTAGACGAAAATAACATAACCGGCAATAGTGACACTCTTTATGGCGAAGAAGATGTTGATAAAATAACTCAACGTGAACCAACAATCACAGATCCATTTCAATTTAATTTTATGAATGTGAAAGTAAAACATAAGCTTCGACCACCTAGTATCATGAAACACCAATAACAAGAAATACTAATATACCATAAACAAAATCTCAGGAACAAAAAAACACAACAGCAAATTGAACTATTTATATACGAAGTTATAACCTATTCGTTGTAGTACGATTCTTCGACAATTTTCCGTGAAGAAGGATAAACGTTCAGTGATCCATCATCAGTTCATTTCTTTCAATTCCTCCAGGAATTGTACCTAGGTACCTAATAGATTCTACCCTCATGTCCTAGAACTATCATTAGAACTGACATAATTCCACGATTCCTCGGTTTTTTTCATGAAGAAAGATAAATGTTATCGATTTAGCATCACTTCATTTCTCTCAGTTCCTCGAGCAAGTTCTGCGTGGTACCGTTAAAATCGAGTTAGGTTGTTTGTGTCCTAAGCTATTTTGTTTAGTTTATACAGGGGCATTATTAAAAAGAAACGTTATTCTCAGGGGTGTCCCGAGACGCAAAAGATTGGGGGGGGCCTCCATAGTTTTCGTAAAATTTCTTGGCAAATTTTTAAAATACTTAAGCATTTGTGGAAAGTTTTTCAGAGATTTTTAGAAATTTTTTAGAATATCCGGCGATTTTTCAGGAATTGTTAGAAACTTTTTAAAAAAATGATAAAAAATTTTATTCCTGGCTCTATTTTTGAAAAATTTTTCTCCCTGTATTACCAAAGTTTCTCCAAAAACCAAAACTGAAGACCTTTCTTTTTCTTGCTCTTCAATGGAATTTTCAGGAGAGTTTTGCATATTAGGACCTAGCTCTACACAGTGGGCATTTTTTGCTAGAGCAGGCGGACTTTAGCTTTATGAGTGAACTAAAATTTCATGAACCATTTTTTTATAGGTTTTTCATGATCCTCTTTCTAATGGCATGAGAGTTGGGCTTTGAA